TGTGCAAGAGGTCAAAGGGTGAGCATGTACAGCAGAGTTTTCCTTGCCCAGTCCAAACTGCTGCAGCAGAATGAGGGGTGGTCAGGCTGGGCTGTCTGCACTGCTGCTGCCCATCAGTAACTCCTACAGGTCCTTTGGACCCTGAAGTTCAACCCATCACAGGCCTAATCCTTCCTTTACACCAACATCAATCAGCACTAACTCCATGAAAGCCAACACCATAGCAGCAACTTAAAATCAAATTGGGAGAAAAATCAAATTTGTACGATATTGAGTGTGTACTCACCCTAGGGCAGGGGGGAAAAGAAAAATACTAATTTATTTTTTTGTTCTCTTTTCTCTTTGTTGTTCTGTGCACAAAGAAGTCTCCCAATTACAGGGCCCATACAGAAATTTCCAGCACTCTTTTCCCCTCCTGATTTTCAGGGGTCAATGTGGTAGGTTCAAGCCAGAGGATGTCCCATCCCTACAGCCTCAGGGACCATTTTCCTGCTGTTCTCCTGCTCGTTGGGTTTGGAAGCTCCCAAATCCACAGGCCAGCAACAGGGACTAATAACCAGGTCTCTTAATCCCACCACAGCCTCTCACACAGGCTGCAATCCTGTGCCATTGAGCATTTGGCTGCTGTGCCCAATGCAAAGTACAGAGCTGAAGATAGAAGCAAGCTGAGAGTGCCAGTTCTGTCCACTGTGGATTTGTGATTAAGTTTTGCCATTAAAATACAGTATATAAAATGCTAATTCAAGCCAAAATTATAGAGTCAGATAATATATGGAATTACCGTGCCAACAACCCACAATAAAAATATACAGTACAAATAAGTGAAAGAATCTGATGTCAAAAATATGGATAATGAAAGTAAATTGTATAAACGTAATTAATAAAGGCTTGGAATGGAAATTTCCAGTGTGTACTTGCTGAGCTTAGATCCACTGAATATCCACAGCCTCTTCTAAATTTAAGCTGAAATAGTAATGACCAGCTTCTTATGTTTTGTTTAAATTGTATCTTTTATATCAGAAGGCATCTTGGAGTCTCCACTAAATTGTTTTAATTAAACTAGCCATTATGTTTTATTAGTTCCAACTTTACCACATTCAGACAAGAAATAAAGATGCACATAAACCCCAGACTTTGACATGAAGAAATCCATTCCTGCACGAGTATTCACAGCTGCTATCTCCTGCTGCCCCAGCTCTACAGATAACAGCTACTGTTTTGCTGGACTTGTCATGTAGCCTGGAAGTCTGACAGGGTTCTTCTGTGATCCATTTGCAGCCTGTGCACAGCCTTTGCTAAGTATTTGTTTTGCTTTGCTCCAGACCCTGAGCTTGGGTGGCCTGGGTGAAGGATTTTCAGATTCTACTCCTAACAAGAAAAGATTTCATCTGCTTTGAAGGACTTTTGCATTTAAAGTACCACTGAAAACAGGGAGAGAAGGTGAGACAATACCAACCTTTTCACAGCTTCTGACCTGGGTTAGTGCTGCACTTCCATAAGAACACCAAAATATATAAACTGGCATTTCTATCTAACTCTCCATGGATGAGCTAAGTGGAATATATGCACATTGTACTGCAATATCTGTATCTTGCAGTGCAGAAACAAATGCATGGGTGTATTACTTACCCAAACCAAGGGTTTGAAACCCTTCCTAGAGCTCATTTGTTTTCTCCCTCTAGTTTTGTTTTATCCATTTAATGAAAGGAATGCCTTCCTACTATTTCTCATAGGATGGAAGGCCATGAGCCACTGAGATTGAAGAAAGGGTATTTGTTCCATAGAGAGTCCCAGCCTAATCTGGGGGTTGCAAAGTTTTTTTGTGATCACAGAATGAAAGGCTGTGAAAGACCAGTGAAATCCTCACAGCCTACTCCTATTGGGTAGTTTTTGCAGGTTTATACAACTTTAATGCCAAGGACACTGTCCTGCAGACTTATATCTTGGTTCCTGATGGACTTTTAAAGAGATTACAATCAAACAAAATTCTATTGAAACATAATTTCCATCTCTAATCACAGTGCAAGTAATTAGTAAAGTCTCCTCAAGAATCTGATGAAAACACATGGCTAATTAGTCATATATACCACTCACACTGGCCACAGCCCAGTTGAAACCAGCTTCTGGAACATCTTTCCCAGCCCTGTTTCAGACTGAGCTGGGAAGTTCTGCCACTATCTTGGGGCACAGCTCTGTTGTGCTTCAGGGCTCCCTACAACCAGAGGGAGCAGACACAAATGAGAAACAAGAGCTACTGGGAGTGATGCAAACCTCCAAATCCTTCCCTCAGTAAGCCTCTGCCTGCAACAGATGCCTTTCAAACAGGCACACAGGGAAAAACAAATAAATTCCTTGCAATTCTCATAATAAACAAAACCAGAGTGAATCACACCAGAATAACAACTTCAGTAATATGACCTCTCTTCCTCTTTCAAAGAAAGCAAAATTATCTTGTACAAATTATAGACTGTTTCTGCTGGGAAATGAGAACCAGTATTCCAGCTGATGCAAAATATTAGGCAAGAGATTTAAAAAGCTGCCACCCCATCTCTACACAGCAAGGGCACACACACCTTTCAGTTCTGAATGAGGAGTACTTCTAGGCATCTCTGTAAAGTTGTTTAAATGGATTCCAGCATTAGCCTCACTACATTTTTAAGCCAGTTATGAGGAATTTAGCAGGAAAACCAGCAGCCTGAGGTCTGGGTTGTAGTTTGGCTCCAGTCTCCCAGTGTGGAGCAGCACAGCTCCAACTCTGGGTGCACAGCAGTGGTCCTTGGAGCTGCACAAGCTGGAAAACTGCTCATCAGGCAGGGGGAAACATAAATCCTGACTGGCTGCTTCAATGCACAGTCAGACATTGGATTGTCTTTGCAAAGTCAGACAAAATTTGCCTGACTTTGCATCGATATGGACAGGGCCACACAGCCCTTTCCATTTCCTCCAGCAGATGCCACAGTCTGGCCTAAATTCATCCCCTGTGTTTCCAGAAGGAAAACATTCTCCCCATTTTCCTTCTCATCCACACACATCACTGTGTCAGTACACTGTGTGGATCATCATATTATCACACACACCCTCTGCTCACCCTGCTCATCTCCTTCCTATTTACTTAGTGACTATTAAGGCAATTAGAAATATTATTTTCCTTCCAAGCAAGCCCTACAGAAAATTCTCTGCACTCTTTGTACAAATGATGCCAATGGAAAATGTTCCAGTGATGTCAGTGAATGCATTATCAGACTCTCTACAGCACAGCTTTTGGGGTAGTTTGTGTCAGTACGCTAAATTAAATAATGATTAAAGTAAGTAACTCAAAAGTGGTTTGGATGTGCTTCCAAATGAAAGTCTTAACAGAAGGGATTCAAAAGGAATAAGAGATACATATGTTTTGATAATCTGAAGTGAGCCAGCTTACCCAAAAAGCCACTTAATTACACCAAAACTGAAACATCTGGTTTAGATTATCTGTTAAAAAATAGTATGGTGAAAAGTAAACCACTCAGAGAGGAAGTATTAACATTATTTTTGACTTAGAGACTGTCACGACAGAAAAGTAATACATTTTTTGATTATTGTTTTTGTATCTTCAGATGGAATACAAAGAGGAAACTCAGCAAAGCAAGGAGAGCTCTTGCCTTCACTGGGAATCAGGCAGAGGGAGGAGCTGGCCCTGCCCTGTTCCCAGCAGGATGAGGATGACACTCACAGAGGGACTGTGCTGCTGGGAGGTGCCAGAGGTACCAGGCTGTCCCTTGTGGATCCTTTGGAATCCATGTGGCTTTCTGATATTCTGCCACACTCAGGGTATTTTCACATGGAAAAAGTACCAAAAGCCCTGAACCTGGCAGCATTCTCCATTTTGAATTAAGAACATTCCTAGCATTTTTGTTGTCTGCTATTATTTATTTTTAATGGTTTTTTGGTTTTGTTTTTTTACCCCAAGTTGCAGCCAAGGAAAGGCAAACCTTGCAAAAGTGATGCCAGTAATTTCCCTGCACATGCAGTAGGTACTCTCCAACCTGGAGATATCCAAATCTCTCCCTGGTACAGTAGCCTGGTATTTCTTAACAGTATCTCTAGCTGAAAAGTCACATTATAGCACTTTAGAACATTTAGAGCCTCAGGAAAACCTTTTATGCGAGCATTTTAAAGCTCAGAGCTCTAATCTAGGACTTGGTATATTTATCCAAGTCCTTAATTATTAATGCTACTCTATTGATTTGATACCTGAAACTCTAACAACAAAACCTGTGCAAACTAATTATGCCTGGCTTCCGAATTTACAGGGCTTCTTTGCTCCTCTTCTAAGTCTTCTTTTACTTAATCAATAAGGTCTGATTCATAAAACAGTACAGAGATGCCAGAACTGAGAAATAAAAGGCATATTAATTATCATATCAACTCTGCAACATCTATGTTGCTGAAGCACTTATTCACCTGAGGGATCCCAATGATATCCAAGTTCATCTTAGCTTATTATCCTAATGCAGGCAGCACAATCAATCCTAACAGTATTTTAATTAATTCTGATTTTTTAAAAAATCTTTGGTTTCTGCATGCAAGGCTTTGTAATACGAGTTTCTCGAGGCAGTGCAGCTTTGCCAGCTTTCTGCAGGAAGAGTAAATTCACAAAGCTCTCATCCCCCCAGGCTCTTTCACTCCTCCTGGCTGTCCTTGTGCAGCACCAGCACCAGTGCTGGGCTCTGCTGGTTTGCAAAGTTAAGAAAGGCCCAAATTATCCTCATCTGCCTTCAAAAACACTGAATAAATTCCCTAATACAGCTGATTTAGGGCCAGATTGTGATGCTTTGCTTCACTTTTCAGTAGCATCCTTAAGATAGGCAAGACTGTTTCTGGAGCAGTAACACCATAAGTAATTCAAAGTAAATTTTTAAAAAACATCACCAAATCAGCAGTACACAGTTTTGAAAGCACATAATACACGTTTGCTGTACTTATTCCTGCTCAGTTAGTTATTTTTTCTTCATTTTATGCAGATATGTAACAATATAGAGGGGGAAAGATATTTGTCAACAATATATTTGGTGTTCTACAACAGTCGAGATTATTAGCCCTTGACTACAGATCCCCAAACCATCTCAGAAATGTACTTCAGAACCTTGTATCTCTAATACAAAACTGGTAAGTGAAATGAAAACTTTGGTCCTTACATGTTTTTAATCTCCATATTTGAACATCTATTTCACTTTTATTATTGTCATAGTCACTGGGTATATAGACTAAAGAATTATTTTCTTCAAATCCTCTGATCTATCCAGTTCTTAAACAAATATGTTATAGTCATCTTGAATCCTCTTGCTTTATAAATGTCATTTCTGGTAGAAAAACATATTATTTTAATGTTAATCAGGAAAGGAACACACAGCTCAATTTTTTTTTTTCTTTCAGCTAATCAGAAATAGACCAGCTTAAATTCTTGAGTTCAGTGAGACCACTCCAGGATTACACCAGAACCAATGATGATCAGAGTTTGGTCTAAATGTCTCCATTATGACCAATCTCCATTAGTTCAATCTAAGAGAAACATACATCACAAAGGGAGATAATTTACAATTTTTATAACCATTATAATTTGTAGTACACAACTAACCACATGGCCATTCTTTCAAAACATCAAGATAAATCAGGAGAAACTCAAAGACATGTTTAATGTTTGATGACAAATGGATACTAACAAACACTTACTGCAATAAATTCCTGTTAAAAATAGAGATTATGGCAAAATGCTTAAAAAAGGTGATTAGCAGCACTTATTTTAAAATTCTTTTCCATTGTTTTCTTCAGTGCATGGACCACCAAGTTTCATTTAATCCTTTCTAATTCTGGGCAAGATAATTATGGCAAATAATGGTGAATAAATCACATGCCTGTACAGGAGTATCACAGCCATTGTGGCACTTGGATGAATGCTGTGTCAGAGGATTAATGTGGTATAATACTGCATTTGCTTTTGCAGCCTGTTATTTTAATCTTGTGAGCTGCCTTTCATCAAGGTGGGGAAATACAGTAAGGTTACTGTTGATCTCAGGCAAACAGAGAGGAGGCCGTGCCACATCCAAGTCCTTCAGTCCTATAGGGGACTCTTGGCAGCTTCTAAAAATCTTGTTTTATGCATTAATGGAAGGAGAGAGAGAACTTGCCTGTGCTAGGGGAAAGTTGGCAGGTGAAGGAACAGCACAAGAGATGCCATTGTGCCAACAAGTTACTTAGTTCTGAGTATTAGGCAGCGTGCACCCAAGAATTCATGGGATCCTAAAACTGCAGAAACAGCAAATCACTGACCTGTCACTGCCTGCAGATGGGGGAGCAGAGACCTGCCAAAGGCACAGAGAGAGATGGAGTGCAGTAGCCAAGCAGCCTACAGAAGAAAGTGGGGTATGATCTTGTCTAAAGAGGAGCAGAACACCCTTTAAACTCCTTCCTCTTGCCTTGGTAGGCACTCTCCACTATCCGGGCTAAGGGCTTTGCCATGGCACTGACTAATGTATTCCTGACTGCTCAACTTTGTCATGGACCAGTCTGATCCTAATCAGTAGAGATTTCTCTCTTGCTGAATGACAGGAGTGTTTGGAAGTGCTGGAATTGTCCATTTAGTCACCGTGCCTGTCAGATTCCACCTAGGAATGTGTGCTCCCCAACCTCTGCAGAAAGAAAACCAGCATGGGGGTGTGAAAATTGTTCAGAAGCAAATGCTGCTTCCCCAAGCCACTGCCCAAGACATAAAAGGAACTCAGAATGCACTGCAGATCAGAAAAATTCCATTAAATTCTACCCATTATATATTCTAGAACAAGATGGCAAAGTGCCAAAATACTTAAACAAAGCAGGTTGTTGGGGGTTTTTTTCACACAATTTCTATCCCACTGAGAAGTAATAAGGCCTGGAGATCTTATAAAGAAACCTGTTCTTGAAAAATTTATGGCACAGATTTATAGGTCCAAGAAATGAGGATGGTTCAAATTAATTTCCTATAAGCATCTACTTTCAAGAGTTCTTCTCCGAGACAAACCTGAGCCAGATTTTTTTTGTTTCCCAGTTAGCTGCCCTTTTACACTGGCTGAGTCATATGAAGGGGATGGAAGATGGCCACAGCTGCATGTTTGGGAATTCCAGCAGCTATGGAGAAGTCTCCAACTGCTTTGAATCACTGGAATATTTTCTTGGGCTTTGATTGCAGAGGAACACCTTTGAGCACACCTGAAACCTCTGTTAAACCACTCCATGGCTGGCACCCAGCACCTCACCTACTCCAAATTCTGCTGGGGTCACCACTGTGGAGATTCAAAATCTAAAAACTCTGTTCAGTTGTGGATTTGTAAAAATAGCTGAGGGGTTTGTTTTGGAGTTTTTTGTTTGGTGCTTACTCAATCTGAACAAAAGGTTTTGGATTACATTTCATGTAAAACTTGCAGAAAAAGTCCTTTCAGCTGAGACTGCTGAAATTAAATATTGACATTTTAGCTTTTAAATTTTGATTGGACACAAGTAATTCAGGGAAGTCAACATGAATTAATTGGTGCAATGCTGGGCTGCCAAACTGGCATTATTTTTATTATTACTAGTTCTAAAAATGGATTTGGCCACTCAGCAGGGGCCAGCTTTTCTTATAGAAGATAAGGCCATCCTCAGTCTTCTAATGAGTTGTCCACCTTCTGTGTGTCCATTTCCCCAGACAAAGCAGGACTAGCAATGAGAATTCAAAGCTTGTACAGTTCACTTCAGCAAGTCAAGTGAAGCTTTCAACACCTGGTTGAAGATCTGAAAACCTCTGCATTACTTTGCACGTGGGAACCAACAAATTCAGCCCAAACAAAAATCTGAAATTCAGAATCCTCTGAAAATCTGGCACCAGAAAGGCAATGAAAAACTGGCAGGAGAACACCTTGACTTTATCTCAGCTCCCTTGGTTAGAGATGAACTAACCAGACATTTTATATGACCCTAAACCTTGCCACAGTCCATAAAATGAATGAAAATACAGGAGTTGGGAAGAGATAGTAAAGCATATGTTCACTCTAGTGGAGGGGAAAAGTTAAATAATGTAGCATTAAAAAGGAGGTGATTTAAGTATTGAAGACAAACGTATACAGAGAAAAAGACTAAAAGCAAATTACAGCTCCTATGCAGGCAGGTGGATGGTATCAAAAAAGTCAAGGTGACAGAAATTGGCTGAAAATATTTCAAGCCCCTGGATTCTCTGAACTATTTAGGGCTGTTTCCAGGCCATGTTTTTATGTGTGGCAAAACACAGAGATCTGAGCAACAGTTGAAGCAAATAGAAGCCACATCAGTCAAGCTGAAGTCATGCAATTTAATCCTCATGTCCCCTACCTTGTTATATTAATTTCTGATTACACCATACTTAGAGAAAAACATGTGTTCACTGGAAGGCTACAGAGAAAGGAAAAGCTGGGGAAATCTTAAGTCAAGGCATTGTATAAATAGAAATTTGAATATCAATTTCCACAGGAAGGGAGAAGAGTAGTCAGATTTCATTTTCCATTATAACTACATGTTGATTATGTGCTTCACAGTGTAAATATCTTTAATTGACACAAATGGATTATTTTTTAAAATCCATGGGTCTTCTCTCTCATCCTGCAGTAAATCAGAAGTCATTTTGCTGATATCTGTATTGTTTTATCACAGTATAATTGGGATGAAAGGAAAACTACAGCTGATATTTTAAGCCAGAGTGGTTCTGGTTCAGTATATTCACAATTGAATCACAGATGAAAAGGAATGATGGTCTATGAGGCTGGGCTGAGAGTTTGAGATAGAAACTCCACTCCCCCTAATGCCACCAAACTTTGGCACTATAATTTGGGCAAATAATTTGGCATTATTGTATCTCAGTATCCCATGAAGCTGGTTTGATGTTTTCCTAACACTAAGGAGTTTTGTAATGGGGAAAAAAAATAAAGTTAGAGACATTAAAGCTGACCAAGGAAATAGTTTTTCTAGTAAATGGTAATGAAGTTTTAAAAACAAGCTCAGAAGAGTGAGAATTTAATGCTACTTTCAGGGGGGTTTTATTGTATTAAAAAGTGTTGGGGATAAATGCAGAACAAGGATACTTATTGATTCGAATAAATAATCAATAGAAGGAAGATTTTAGATTTATTTTCAATTGAATTAGTTGCCTTGGATTCATATTCTGGCAATAACATACCTACTCTGTTTTATTGTACATTTTAAAGCTATATAAGCATATCAAGGTAAAAAATGACTTCAGATTTCAAATTAAAACCTTAGTAAAATAACAAGAGATTGAACTCGCTCTGGGAAGGAAGAAATAAAAAAAAGAGGGGAGGTGGGTTTAATTCAGTCTCTGAAAAAGATAATAGTGAAAGGTCTGACTTTGCTTATGCCAAAGGCATTTTGCCATCTACCTCCACAGAGCCAGGACAACAGTGCTGGGTTTTGTAGAGCCTCAATCCCACAAACTGTGTGATGGAAAAGGGAATTTCTAAAGTCAGTGGGATTCCCCACAGCTCTCAGGATCGGAAATTTTGTGGGCAACTATGTATAGAACTTGTTTGAATTTTGGCCCAAGAGTATTCTCATTTCCATTGACAGTCTCCATAAAAACCCTCTTGTGCAACTGCACTATCTTTTCATCTTGGGTTGCCAAAGCATAAGAGTCTGAACATCTGTTTGAAAAACAGAATATGCCAATATTTAAATTAGCAATGGTTTCTTTTCCCTCCAAGACTATCAACTAATTATTTGAAATAGATTTACCCAAATATTGCACTTAGCTCCACATTACACACGCATAAATGAGAACAGAATTTGGCCCAATATGTTTAAGCTAAGCACATTTTTGCAGCTATGAAAAGTAATCTGATTTCCATGGAATAGTTCATACATGGCAATTTGCCTTCCTGGGCCTCAGTTCATGTCAAGCCTTTTCACTCTGCTCATTTTATGAAGATTTAATTGAATCCTACTTAAATAGCATCAACTAGCACTTATTCATAAAGCCATCAAGCCTTTCATCACAAATTCATAGTTTTGTAATCCATTAAAAAAAAAAAAAAAGAAATAAATCATATATATTCAGTCATACTATCACTGGAAACACTTGAAACAAACTCTTCTGTCCACAGTCCTCTACC